CTCTTGGCCACCCCAGGCAGAGATTTGACATATGTCACCGACAGCGCCTATGTCCAGCGAGGCGTGTTCCGTCTGCGCTTGAAGGCCCGCTGGAGGCCGAAGACGAATCGGGACCTCTGGCACCTTGTCCGAGAGCTCTGGGGGGCCCGAGACGTCCTTGTCGTGAAGGTCGCGAGCCACGCGACCAGGTCCGAGTTCGATCGAGCGTCAGGCAATTTAAAGGCGCTGTATCAATTCAATGAGCTGGCTGACGGGCTGGCCGATAAGTTCTCACCAGCTGCGCAGGTCCCGGGTGCGGCAGCTGATTCCCTCCCGGAGCTCGAGGCGGAGGCCAAAGCCATCTGCGCCCGTTTGACAGATATCTTGGCTACGATGCCGTCATTCCGCCGAGGGGGAGAGTCTTCCAGAGCTGCCGCCCAGGGACCGCTCAGCAAGAAGTATGATTCACCTGCGGAGTTATCCCGCACGGCCCACCTCTTGGAGAGCTCCAGAATCAAAGGTCGTCTGCGTCGTCAGTGGCGTTGTCGTAAATGTTCCGCGGAGCCTCCATCTAGGGGTAAGGGTACCGTAATTAAGTGGCTTCGTTCCCCTTGCAACCCCTCGCTCATTGTTGGCCCCTCACCGAGTGCCCCGCGGGAAGTGGGGCCTTGTAGGAGAGGCCTTTCTGTGCATCCCTCACACACTATGCGGCGGTGGGAGGTTGGGGCGGGGGCGAGGAAGGAGCGGATGTTCGCTTGCTCGAGGTGCGGTGGGCTCGGAACCGACCACTATCGCGCCACAGGCAAGCTCATGTCTGAATGCCAGGCCCCCACACGTACGGGCTCGGAACACCTCAGGGCGCTCGAGAAGGGTCGAGCTCCAGGCCACACGAAGTTGGCCAAGCAGATCAATGTCCTGAGATAGAGTGGATTGAGCGCGCAGCGCAGAGTCTAATCTAATATAATATCCTCCTCCCCCTCCTCCTCCTCCTCCTCCTCCTCCACCTCCTCCTCCTCCTCCTCCTCTTCCTCCTCCTCCTCCTCCTCTCCTCCTCCTCCTCCTCCTCCTCCTCCTTTTCTTTCTCCTCTTCTTCCTTCTTCTCCTCCTCCTCCTACTCCCCCTCCTCCTCCTCCTCCTCCCCCCTCTCCTCCTCCTCCTCCTCCTCCTCCTCCCCTCCTCCTCCTCCTCCTCCTCCTCCTCCTCCTCATATTTTTTCCTCCTTCTCCTCCCCCCCTCCCCTCCTCATTCTTCCGCCTCCTCCTCCTCCTCCTCCTCCTCCTCCTCCTCCTCCTCCTCCTCGTCCTCCTCCTCCTCCTCCCTCCTCCTCCTCCTCCTCCTCCTCCCTCCTCCTCCTCCTCTCTCCTCCTCCTCCTCCTCCTCCTCCTCCTCCTCCTCCTCCCCCCTCCGCCTCCCCCATCCTCCGCCTCCTCCTCCCCCAGCTGGCCGCCGTCTTACACGAACACTGCCAAACCCGACGGGCTGGCGTTCTCCGAATTACATTTCGTGTAACCTTCGGGGGGAATAGTATTTTTGAATAGAGCAGTGTGGTCTCCACTTCCTCATTCCCGTCCCGTTTCCTTCTTGCCTCCTCCTGTCTTGCTTGCGGGGGGCTGCGATCTGTGAAACTGTCGCCACTTTCGAGGCCTGCTGGGGGGGCCCAGCACAGTGACGCCACGGGCGGACCCAAGTTAGACCTCGCCATCCCTGGGGGGGTGCAATCTGTGAAACTGTCACCATTTTCGAGGCCTGCTGGGGGGCCCAGCACAGTGACGCCACGGGCGGACCCAAATTAGACCTCGCCGTCCCGGGGGGGTTGCGATCTGTCAAGCTGTCGCCACGTTCGAGGCCTATTGGGGGGCCCAACACGGTGACGCCACAGGCGGACCCAAACTGGACCTCGCCATCCCTGGGGGGGGCTGCGATCTGTGAAACTGTCGCCACGTTCGAGGCCTGCTGGGGGGCCCAGCACAGTGACGCCACGCGCGGACCCAAATTAGACCTCGCCATCCCTGGGGGGCTGCGATCTCTGAAACTGTCGCCACTTTCGAGGCCTGCTGGGGGGCCCAGCACAAAGACGACACGGGCGGACCCAAATTAGACCTCGCCATGCTTGGGGGGCTGCGATCTGCGAAACTGTCGCCACTTTCGAGGCCTGCTGGGAGGCCCAGCACAGTGACGCCACGCGCGGACCCAAATTAGACCTCGCCATCCCTGGGGGGCTGCGATCTGAGATACCCGCTTTCGAAGTGGCTAGGGTTGCTCAGGGATTGCAACTAATCAGCTTTATCTAGTCCTTGTCCTGAAGCCAGTGTCCTGCGAGTCTCCCGAATTCCGTCTGCAGACATATGTAACCCTCGCTCCGTCATCGCCCCCTTATAAAGTGTCCTACATTATTTGCTCCCCGCGTTTGCGCAGGGGTTGGGTACGTCGCCAGGGTAATTTTTCGTTCCCGGGCGTTGGCACGGGACGAGTTGAATGATACACTTGCGTTGCAATCGATTGCAATCCATTGGATTGCAAGCGATTCGATTGCAATCCCTTGGATTGCAATCGATTGGATTGCAACCGGTTGAATTGCAATCGATTCAATCGATTGGATTGCAGGGGAGGGACAGGACGGAAGGGAGGGAGGGGAGGAGAGGGAGGGGAGGGAGGAGATGGAACGAAGGGTGGGGAGGGAGGGGAGGGAGCGGAGGGAGGTGGGGAGGGGGATTGCAGCGGAATGGAGTGCAATCGATTGCACGCGATTCGACTGGGATGTTCGATAGTCGCTCGTTGATCGTCGATCGTCCATCCTCGATCGTGGATTGTTCATTTTGGATCGTCGGCGAAAGGGAGGGCGGAGGCTCCAGGGGCTGGGCGGCACAAAGGGGGGGAGGGGGGGGGGAGCTTCCAGCAGGGCGGCTCCAAGGGAGGGGGGGGTAGCTTAAGCACCCCCCTCCCTTTGGAAAGGGGGGTAGAGGGGGGTAGCTTCCGGGGCGGCCAAAGGGGGGGGGGGGGGTAGCTTCCAAGCACCCCCCCCCCTTTGCACGAAAGGGGGGGAGGGGGGGGTAGCTTCCAGCAGGGCGCGCCAAGGGAGGGGGGGTAGCTTAAGCACCCCCCCCCCTTTGGAAAGGGGGGGGGGGGGGTAGCTTCCGGGGAGGGCCCAAGGGGGGAGGGGGGGGTAGCTGTAAGCCCCCCCCCCCCTTGCAAAAAAAAGGGGGGGGAGGGGGGGGGTGCTTCCAACAAGGGCGGCTCAAGGAGGGGGGGGTAGCTTAAGCACCCCCCTCCCTTTGGAAAGGGGGGTAGGGGGGGTAGCTTCCGGGGCGGCCAGAGGGCCGGGGGTAGCTTCCAAGCACCCCCCCCCCTTTGCACGAAAGGGGGGGAGGGGGGGGTAGCTTCCAGCAGGGCAGCGCCAAGGGAGGGGGGGGGTAGCTTGAGCACCCCACCCCTTGGGAAAGGGGGGGAGGGGGGGGGTAGCTTCCGGGGAGGGCCCACGGGGGGATGGGGGGGGAGTTGTAAGCCCCCCCCCCCCTTGCAAAAAAAGGAGAGGACGGGGGGGGGGTGCTTCCAACAAGGGCGGCTCAAGGGAGGGGGGGGGTAGCGTAAGCCTAGCCCCCCCCCTCCCCTTTGCTCGGGCCCTGTGGGCGCGCTCTCTCGAATATTTAGCTGGCAATTTTATGGTAGGGGCGATGAGGATATTGCGCTGGCAGTTTCAAGCGAGGGGTGTGAGGAAACGTTGCTGGCAGTTTTAAGCGAGGGGTTTGAGGATATGTCGCTGGCAAATTTACGGTTGGGCGGTAAAGATGTTTCCCAGACGTAACGAAGCAGCACCTTGTGCCACGCACGGGACGACGGGGGGGATGGATGAGAGGGAAGACGGAGGACGAGAACGAAGAGGACGTGGCGAAAAGGGGAGGGTCGGAGGTAGGGACTGCGAGGTGTCGTGGTCGGTGCGGGCATCCTGTGCGGGCATCCACGCTCCACGCGATGCCGTGTTGGGTCTTGCCCTGCCTGACCGAGCCGAATTCTACGCATGCAGCGCGGTGCTGCGCCCGTATGTATGCTCGCCCCTTGGCGGGGGGTCAAGGGGCGAGCTGTCTGGTGCTTGTTTTGTTCTTTTATCTTCCCGGAAGGGCCTGGAGTGTTGGGGCCTCGGCATCCGACGGTCCGATTTTGCCCCTTCTCCAGGGCCGGTTTCCATCCCCAGCCGGTGTCTGACGACAAAGTGGGGCCCGAGACCGACTTTGCAGGGAGACTTGCCATCTCTATCTCTTCGAGCCCCCAGGTGTTGAGGATGTGGATCGGGAGGGGATCCAGGGCTCCCAGGTGGGGTCCGATGGGGTCGGAAGTTCGCGCCGCATCGCTGATGCATCGTCGATGCGGCTCGATGTGGAGCCCGATGTTCGCAACGTGGACGGCGGCGATGCATCGCATACGTCGCCGATGCGTCGCCGATGTAGTGGCGATGCATTGGCGATGCGGCGCGATCCTCCGACCCCATCTACTCGGACCCCATCCGAGAGGCCTCCAGGGGAGGGGTGGACGGGCCAGGACAGGGGAAGTCTCCTTTGGCTTTGCCAGAGTGGTTCCTTTTGGTTTGCTTCGGGATGTTCGTTCTCCTTCTGATTCCCCGAAAGCCGCTGCGCGTTCTGGCAGCCTCACTTTACCTCCGCCCGAACCAGAGGCGTACTTGTTCTATTGCTGGTGCACATGTTTCCTTCGCCTTGATTATTGGTTCCACGATGCACGCAACATCATTGACATAACTCGTCGGAGGACCGCGCGAGCGTCCTGCGGCCCAACCCATGAATTGCAACATGCGCGGGTCTCCGAAAGCGTATGTTCATACAGTTTTGCTGTATTACGATTGTTAGAGTTTTTCTCCGAATTGGCAGTCACAGTCCCTTGGCAAGCATGCTCCCCTTCTCGTGTATAACTATCGCGTTGCCTTGGTGGCTCGCCTTACTTCGCCCTTGGTAGCAAGATGCTTCAAGGGGCCTTTCGAGCATCTTCGAGTGCCCCATTTCCCCCCTTCCAAGGAGCTGTGGGTCAAGGAGGACGGCCAGGACGTCCAGATCAAGTACGACCGCATCCTGTGCGACGTGCCATGCTCCGGCGACGGCACGATGCGGAAGACACCTTACATTTGGAGGTCGTGGACACTCAGGGACGGCCTGTCACTCCATCCATACCAGCTCGGCATCCTCAACCGCGGCCATTGGGGTACCAGAAGTGACCATCCCTCCTCGTCTCACCACAGACTCGAGAACAATCTCCAGTCTCATTGAGCGACGCAAAGACACGGGTTCGATTGCGCGGACATTCGCGCGCAAGGTTCCCGCAAAAGGTCTTGCGTAGGCGCCTTCGTTTCCTGTGTAGGGTGCCGCGCAGGACACCGCGTAGCGTCGCTGTGCCATCGTGCGTAAGGCCCCCTGTTTATGTCGTCGTGTTGTAAGAACTCCTCGTGGCCGTCAGCTTCGGGCTCGCACTCAGCCTGTGCAGGGGGGAGACGGAAGGTACGGAAGTGTCAGGCGGACATAGTACCAGAGTGCCCCTGGACAATTTGGAACAGTCGTGGCGCCCGGTACAACCTCTGGGCACGGCAGTCCTCAGGCATTACAGGCGGCCCGGATTAGTAGGTCGACCTTGCCAGATCAAGGGTACCTTCGTGTCCTGTGTCTTGCGACCCATGCCTCCTGCACGTTTGTGGCAACGTGGCCCTCGGAAGGGTCTTGTGTCATCTCGCGTGTCTTCTCCAATCGAGTCCGACTGTATTGACACGTCGTTGCCCGATCGGGTCTCCTTCCTGCCTGCGAGGCGCCATCTGGGGCCCTGCTGCGCACGGGCCCAGGATTTCCACGGCCCGTCTCCAGGCCTGGACCTCCTGAAAGTGGGCGGACGCCTCGTCTACAGCACCTGCAGCCTCAACCCCGTGGAGGACGGCAACGGAGGAAGGAGAAACGGCAGGCGCGGCAGGTTCACAACGTGTCGACCGCTGGCGTTCGACGTCGACTGCCGATGGCGGCCCAGAATCGGTCGATGCCGAACGGTCTGACGCTTCGGAAACGGCCGAGCGATCAAGGCTGACCGATCCCCGCGGTGTCGGAAGCCAATGCCGAAGTCGGCACGACAAGAACCTGCCGCAAAGAAGTCGAACATCAGGGGTGACCGAGAGCTGCTCCCCAGACCACCTCCAGGGCCCGCCCCGGCTCAGGGCCGTGGAGGCGAGACCCTCCAGAGACGGCCAACAAGCCTCCAGAACGACGACGACGACGACGACGACCATGACGACGACGACGACGACGACGACGACGACGACGACGACGACGACGACGTCGAGGACGACGAGGTCGAGTACGACGACGTCGAGGACGACGACGACGATGTCGAGGACGCCGACGTCGAGGAGGGCGTCGAGGATGATGTGTCGTTCACAAGCGCGGCCCCTGAGGTCCCCGAACCCTCCCCCGGGGAGACTTCTTCGCCCCGGATCTTTTTGTTGATGGTCCCGGTTTCCGATGACGGGCCCAGGAGGCCGAAAACGCGAAATGCAAGTGTTCGCACCCGGCCCATCACCAGTCATGAAACGGCCAAGCTACAATTTCAAAGGGTATTCAGTTTTGATCCCCTTCCCTGATCTCTCGGCGGTGAATAACGTAGGTCGTAAAGCCTCGTCGCGGCGGCGACGGATATTATTTTCCCTCTACTGTTGGGCGGGCTGGGTAATGTTTGGGGGTTATTTCTCTGGCGGAGTAATCCACTGTGGCTACCTTGCACGCGGGAGGAGTTGTAAGCATTTTCTCATGAGGATTGCAATGCAAGCGTGATTCGTTTTGATTCGTAAGTTTGCTCTTCGTTTTGATTCGCGAGTTTGCTCAAACTCGCCTGCCTAGCACCGCTGGCAGAACTCCTGCTGGCGCCTGCTTGGCGCGCGCGGCGACATGGCACTAGTTTCACCTGTATTGTTAGGCGGGTTGGGTAATGTTTGGGACTTGTTTCTCTTGCTCAAACTCGTTTGCCCAGCACTGCGGGCAGAACTCCTGCTGGCGCCTGGTCGACGCGCGCGGCCAACATGGCGACTTTTCCAGTATCGACAACACAGAACTCGCCATACTTATGTACCTTCTACGCGACAGGGGATGGATTTTCTGAGGGCCCGCGCGTGGCCTGAGCTTCAACAGTCCTTCTCAGGATAGAGCTTTCAGGATAAAGCTTCTGAGTGCCAAGTATCTGAACGAAGATTTTCCATGAGAGCGCTGCTGGCGGGCGCCGTGGGGACCAGTCCGTCAATAAGGGCGCCGAAAAAAAAAAAAAAACTCCACTGGTTGGGGGGTTCTAAAATTATCCTGGCGATGGACCCAACCATATGCAGTTGCAAGTACCGCAAAGCAGGTTGCGCGAATGAGAGGAAACTCCCTATGGGGCCACGAAACGTGAGAGGGGTGTGCCGAAATGGGCGCGGTGCCGCCATGCGAACGCAGCCACTGGGGCCTTCGGTGGAGCTCCTTATGGGGCCACGAAACGTGCGAGGGGTGTGCCGAAATGGGCGCGGTGCCGCCATGCGAACGCAGCCACTGGGGCCCTCGGCGGAGCTCCCTATGAGACCACGAAACGTGTGAGGGGTGCCCCGAAATGGGTGCGGTGCCGCAATGCGAACGCAGCCACTGGGGCCCTCGGTGGAGCTCCCCATGGGGCCACGAGCCGGGTGAAGGGTGTGCCGAAATGGGCGCGGTGCCGCCATGCGAACGCAGCCATTGGAGCCCTCGGTGGGGCTCCCTATGGGGCCACGAAACGTGTGAGGGGTGTGCCGAAATGTGCGCGGTGCCGCCATGCGAACGCAGCCACTGGGGCCTTCGGTGGAGCTCCTTATGGGGCCACGAAACGTGTGAGGGGTGTGCCGAAATGGGCGCGGTGCCGCCATGCGAACGCAGCCACTGGGGCCTTCGGCGGAGCTCCCTATGAGACCACGAAACGTGTGAGGGGTGCCCCGAAATGGGTGCGGTGCCGCAATGCGAACGCAGCCACTGGGGCCCTCGGTGGAGCTCCCCATGGGGCCACGAGCCGGGTGAAGGGTGTGCCGAAATGGGCGCGGTGCCGCAATGCGAACGCAGCCATTGGAGCCCTCGGTGGGGCTCCCTATGGGGCCACGAAACGTGTGAGGGGTGTGCCGAAATGGGCGCGGTGCCGCCATGCGAACGCAGCCACTGGGGCCTTCGGTGGAGCTCCTTATGGGGCCACGAAACGTGTGAGGGGTGTGCCGAAATGGGCGCGGTGCCGCCATGCGAACGCAGCCACTGGGGCCCTCGGCGGAGCTCCCTATGAGACCACGAAACGTGTGAGGGTGCCCCGAAATGGGTGCGGTGCCGCAATGCGAACGCAGCACCCTCGGTGGAGCTCATGGGGCTGGGGGGTGTGCCCTGCGGTGGAGCTCCCCATGGGGCCACGAAACCTGTGAGGGGTGTGCCGAAATGGGTGTGCGGGACGCATGCGGACGGCAGCCATGGGGCCTTCGGTGGAGCTCCCTATGGGGCCACGAAGCGTGTGAGGGTGTGCCGAAATGTGTGCGCGGGACGCATGCGGACGGCAGCACTGGGGCCTTCGGTGGAGCTCCCTATGAGACCACGAAACGTGTGAGAGGTGCCCGACATGGGTGCAGCCGCAAATGCGAACGCGCCACGTGGGGCCCTCGGGTGGGAGCTACCCATGGGTCCACAGGGGCCGGCCGGAGGGTGTGCGTACAATGGAACGCGGTGCCGCCATGCGACGCTAGGCCACTGGGGCCTTCGGTGGAGCTCCCTATGGGGCCACGAAACGTGTGAGGGGTGTGCCAGAGCGGGGGGTGGAACCGCATGCGGGCGCAGCCACTGGGGCCTTCGGTGGAGCTCCCTATGCGGCCACGAAAAGTGTGAGGGGTGTGCCAGAATGGGGGGTGGAACCGCATGCGGGCGCAGCCACTGGGGCCTTCGGTGGAGCTCCCTATGGGGCCACGAAACGTGTGAGGGGTGTGCCGAAATGGGCGCGGTGCCGCCATGCGAACGCAGCCACTGGAGCCCTCGGTGGAGCTTCCTATGGGGCCACGAGCCGGGTGAGGGGTGTGCCGAAATGGGCGCGGTGCCGCCATGCGAACGCAGCAATTGGAGCCCTCGGTGGGGCTCCCTATGGGGCCACAAAGCGTGTGAGGGGTGTGCCGAAGTGGGCGCGGTGCCGCCATGCGAACGCACTCCATGCGAACGCACCAGTGGGGCCTCGGTGAGCTCCCTATCTGTGGGTCCACGAACGCGTGAGGGGTGTGCCCGAAGTGGTTCGGTGTCCCGCCATGCGAACGCAGCCACGGGAGCCCTCGGTGGAGTTCCCTATGGGGCCACGAAACGTGTGAGGGGTGTGCCGAAATGGGTGCGGTGCCGCCATGCGAACGCAGCCAGTGGGGCCCTCGGTGGAGCTCCATATGGGGCCATGAAACGTGTGAGGGGTGTGCCGAAATGGGCGCGGTGCCGCCGTGCGAACGCAGCCACTGGGGCCTTCGGTGGAGCTCCCTATGGGGCCACGAAACGTGTGAGGGGTGTGCCGAAATGGGTGGTGGGGAGGCATGCGAACGCAGCCACTAGGGCCTTCGGTGGAGCTGCCTATGGGGCCTCGAAACGTGTGGAGGGTGTGCCGAAATGGGGTGCGGTTCGCATGCAACGCAGCCGCTGGGGCCCTCGGTGGAGCTCCCTATGGGGCCACGAAACGTGTGAGGGGTGTGCCGAAATGGGCGCGGTGCCGCCATGCGAACGCAGCCGCTGGAGCCCTCGGTGGAGCTCCCTATGGGGCCACGAGACGTGTGAGGGGTGTGCCGCAATGGGTGCGGTGCCGCCATGCGAACGCAGCCACTGGGGCCCTCGGTGGAGCTCCTTATGGGGCCACGAAACGTGTGAGGGGTGTGCCGAAGTGGGTGCGGTGCCGCCATGCGAACGCAGCCACTGGGGCCCTCGGTGGAGCTCCCCATGAGGCCACGAAACGTGTGAGGGGTGTGCCGAAATGGGTGCGGTGCCGCCATGCGAACGCAGCCATTGGAGCCTTCGGTGAACCTTATGGGGCCACGAAGCGTGTGAGGGGTGCCGAAATGACTGCGGTGCCGCCATGCGAACGCAGCCACTGGGGCCCTCGGTGGAGCTCCTTATGGGGCCACGAGACACGTGTGAGGGGTGGCCGAAAGTGGGTGCGGTGCCGCATGCAACGCAGCACTGGGGCCTTCGTGGAGCTCCCTATGGACCACGAAACGTGTGAGGGGTGTGCCGAAATGGGTGTGGGGAGGCATGCGAACGCAGCCACTGGGGCCTTCGGTGGAGCTCCCTATGGGGCCACGAAACGTGTGAGGGGTGTGCCGAAATTGGGCGGTGGGGAGGCATGCGAACGCAGCCACTGGGGCCTTCGGTGGAGCTCCCTATGGGGCCACGAAACGTGTGAGGGGTGTGCCGAAATGGGTGCGGTGCCGCCATGCGAACGCAGCCAGTGGGGCCTTCGGTGGAGCTCCCTATGGGGCCACGAAACGTGTGAGGGGTGTGCCGAAATGGTTGCGGTGCCGCCATGCGAACGCAGCCACTGGGGCCCTCGGTGGAGCTCCCTATGGGGCCACGAAACGTGTGAGGGGTGTGCCGAAATGGGCGCGGTGCCGCCATGCGAACGCAGCCACTGGGGCCCTCGGTGTGCTCCTATGGCCACGAATCGTGGAGGGGTGTGCAAATGGTGCGGTGCCGCCATGCAACGCAGCCAGTGGGGCCCTTCGGTGGAGCTCCCTATGGGGCCACGAAACGTGTGAGGGGTGTGCCGAAATGGGTGTGCTGAGCGGTGCCGCCTGCGAACGCAGCCACGGGGGCCCTCGGTGGAGCTCCCTATGGGGCCACGAAACGTGTGAAGGGTGTGCCGAAATGGGTGCGGTGCCGCCATGCGAACGCAGCCACGGGAGCCCTCGGTGGAGCTCCTTATGGGGCCACGAAACGTGTGAGGGGTGTGCCGAAATGGGTGTGGCTGACGCGGAGGGGGAGGGGGGAGGAGGCGGAGGAGGAGGAAGGAAGGAGAGGAGAGGAGAGGAGAGGAGACGCGGGGCACCGTCTCTTCAAAACGAGGACCCAACACCACAGGATGGTTGGGAAAAACTTTCAAGGTTACCTGGGGCCGCGGCCAGGTTGCACCAGTGCAATCGCGATGGCTTCCCAGGGCTGCGCGCAGGCGGCGGTCCGAAACCTAGGAAGGCATGCCGAGATTGAAAACGTCACATCGTCGGAGACCTGGGTGCAGCGGCCACTCCCACGGAGGACGAGGCCGTGGTGGCCGCGGCGCTGGCCCGGCACGGGGACGCGATCGCCCTCGTGCCGCCCCCCGAGCTGGACGGCCTCCGGGCGGCGCCTGGACTGGAGAGGTCGGGGGGCGTCAGCTGGCCATTTACGTTGTATCTTCGAGGGGCCTCGTCTGTCCTCAACTTCGTGCCGCTCCGTGTGCCCGACGCGGGCTCCATGCGGACTCGACGCGGATGTGGTGATGGTTTGGCTTGGGTTCGACGTGGATCCGACGCGGATTCGACGCGGAGTGAAAATGGATTCGACACGAATTCGACGCAGATGGGGGAGCGACGGAACAGAGAAGGTCTTCCGCAGATGCAGCATGATACATATGTTCTCGGTCCTCCGACAGTGTCTGTTCAGCAGCTTTTTGTTCCTCTGGATTTGGTAGCGCGCACTATCCTGAGATCCTGTCGTCACACGTTTTGCGCATTTGGCGATGTTGCCTTCTTTCGGGCCAGGGGGACCCTTACGGATCGGTCGGGCTTGAAAAGTGCAGCAGGAAGATGGGGTCCAGGGCTTCGGCCGAGTTTATTTACACATTGTTCATTTCTGAGGATTCGAAAATTATTTGGTTTTGGGGGGGCCAAGATCTTTTCATTTCTAATTGTTCTATCCTGGGCCTCTTCCTGGGCACTAGGGGGCCAGGAACGATTAGAAACGAGCACAAATAGAAATGAGCACGATTAGAAATGAACGGCGTGTACAGTGTTGCAGTTTTGTTCATCACGTCGGATCTCAGGGAATCGAGAAAACGGGGGGGCCCTCTTAGCAGGCAAGGGCTCCGGGGCCTCTATGAGAAGGCATCTCCGAAGCCGGGAGGGCGAAGCCCCCCCCCCAGGCGTCATTGAAGGTTGCTCCTTTCGCGCCCCGCCCCCTTTTGTGCATGACAGCTGCACGAGCCTGGCCAAGCCGATCCTGTACCCAAGATCGGTGTCTGCGCCTCGCCGGCCAAGCCGGGAGGGCGTGTGCACAGATCCTGGGCCCAGGATGGGCTTGGCCAGGATCGGTCCCGCACGTTCCGTGCACGCCGCCCGAAGAGGTGGGTCATACAGGATCCGAACGGGGGGCCCTTCTTCGAGAGCTTCTCGCAGGCGCCGAGGCATTCCAACGACAGCACGCACGCATCAGCGTTCGGAGGCCCGCGCGGATGTCTTGGCCCAGCGCCGATTCAGGACGTCCGCGCGGACCTCGGACATCTGATGCCTCTTGTGCCTGTCTCTGTCCTCCCGAGGTGCCCACCGAACTGAGGGACTGCAAGAGCAAGATCATGCCGTCCATGTTCCCGCCCGCGGGCGAGGGCACCGAGGGCATCGGGGCGGCGCTGAAGAACTGCCGGCGGCTCCTGCCGCACCTGATGGACACTCGCCAGGGGGGGAAACGGGTCATGAGGGAAACGGGTCCTGAGGTCCTGGGGTTTTTCGCCGTTTGCGGGCTCTTGGGGCCCTCCACGGGCCCCAGGATTGTCAGAAAACGACTCAGGATGAAGATCTCGTTCTGGGGGACGATCCAGGGGTCCAAGACCCGTTTCCCTCGGGACCCGTTTCCCCCATGCAAAGGACACGGGCGGTTTCTTCGTCGCCGTCCTGGAAAAGCGGAAGGAGCTGCGGGCCTCCGCGCGGGTGCGCCGGGAGGCCCGCCATGAGGATGGGAGAACCAAAAGGTATCGATATTGTAACTCTCTGGACCTCTCCCGATGCGCGTTCTGGCAAGATTTAAAAAAAGCGAACCCATCGAAGCAGAAACAACTTCATAAACAAAACCTTTCGACGGTCCGCGCGGATCTCTTGGATCTGCGCTGGAGCCCCCTGGCGGCGCCTCCGGCGCCGCCCCTGGCGCGCTTGGCGCGCCAGGGAGGGGCGGGGGGGTCCAGCACAGATCCGAGAAATCCGCGCGGAGCTTCAAAAGCTGATGTCTGTGAAGTTGTTTCTGCTTCGATGGGTTCAGACTTATCCCTATGATCGGCATCAGCTTCTCTCGATGCCGATCTTGAGAACGCCCTCGGCCTTTGAGGTTGCATCCCTAAGATTGTCACCAACTTCGGGCTTGTCCAATCCTAGAGATAGGGACGAGCTTGAGGCTGATTATCGGGGGAGCGTAAGACCCGGGTTTGCCAGGACTCGGGTTCGCCATCGTTTTTTGTCGACCGCGACTCGGATTTTGACGAGGAGGAGTTTTGTGGGATGTCTGCAGCGGGAGGCCTCGTCAAAATGCAGGCTCGGCCTCGTCATTTTTTTGACGACCTCGTCGGGGATTTCCGAGTCCCCTGTACCCAGGTCTTACGTCCCCCTGAAGATAGGGACGAGCTTGAGGCTGATTAGTGACGAGGGCCTCCCAGGAGGCCCGAAAATGGCGAACGTGAGGGAGGCGAGGGCGGCGGCACCGTACCCTCTCCTTGATGGGCCAATGTTACACCACCTTTGCACTACCATAGCTAGGACGGGGGAGAAAGAAGGATGGGGAGGTCCTCCTCCTCCTCCTTCTCCTGATCACTCCTCCTTCTCCTCCTCCTCTTCCTCCCCCTCCTCCTCCTCCTCCTCCTCCTCCTCCTCCTCCTCCTCCTCCTCCTCACCCTCCTCATCCTCCTCATTCTCCTTCCCCTCCTCCTCCGCCTCCTCCTCCTCCTCCTGACTCTCCTGCTTGTGGCAGCGGTGGTGAAAAATCGACCCATCACTGCTCCTCTGAGAGGAGATCAAGGCGGAGCGCGCCCAGCGCGACGCGGCGGCCGCGGCCACCGAGGCGAGGCCGCAG